GCTCAAGCTCAGACACCAGCTCAGTAACAGGCAGAGAAACCGGCTCAGACTCAGACACCGGTTCAGGCTCAGACAACGGCTCAGTAACAGGCAGAGACACCGGCTCAGACTCAGACACCGGTTCAGGCTCAGACAACGGCTCAGTAACAGGCAGAGACACCGGCTCAGACTCAGACACCGGTTCAGGCTCAGGCTCAGACACCAGCTCAGACTCAGACACCGGTTCAGACTCAGACACCAGCTCAGTAACAGGCAGAGACACCGGCTCAGACTCAGACACCAGCTCAGTAACAGGCAGAGGCACCGGCTCAGACTTAGACACCAGCTCAGTAACAGGCAGAGACACCGGCTCAGACTCAGACACCAGCTCAGTAACAGGCAGAGACACCGGCTCAGACTCAGACACCGGCTCAGACTCAGACACCAGCTCAGTAACAGGCAGAGACACCGGCTCAGACTCAGACACCGGCTCAGACTCAGACACCGGCTCAGACTCAGACACCGGTTCAGGCTCAGGCTCAGACACCAGCTCAGTAACAGGCACAGACACCGGCTCAGACTCAGACACCGGCTCAGACTCAGACACCAGCTCAGTAACAGGCACAGACACCAGCTCAGTAACAGGCAGAGACACCGGCTCAGACTCAGACACTGGTTCAGACTCAGGCTCAGACACCAGCTCAGTAACAGGCACAGACACCGTCTCAGACTCAGACACCAGCTCAGTAACAGGCAGAGACACCGGCTCAGACTCAGACACCAGCTCAGTAACAGGCAGAGACACCAGCTCACTAACAGGCAGAGACACCGGCTCAGACTCAGACACCAGCTCAGTAACAGGCACAGACACCAGCTCACTAACAGGCAGAGACACCGGCTCAGACTCAGACACTGGTTCAGGCTCAGACAGCGGCTCAGTAACAGGCAGAGACACCGGCTCAGACTCAGACACCAGCTCAGTAACAGGCAGAGACACCGGCTCAGACTCAGACACCGGCTCAGACTCAGACACCAGCTCAGTAACAGGCAGAGACACCGGCTCAGACTCAGACACCGGCTAAGACTCAGACACTGGTTCAGGCTCAGACAGCGGCTCAGTAACAGGCAGAGACACCGGCTCAGACTCAGACACCGGTTCAGGCTCAGGCTCAGACACCAGCTCAGTAACAGGCACAGACACCGGCTCAGACTCAGACACCGGCTCAGACTCAGACACCAGCTCAGTAACAGGCACAGACACCAGCTCAGTAACAGGCAGAGACACCGGCTCAGACTCAGACACTGGTTCAGACTCAGGCTCAGACACCAGCTCAGACTCAGACACCAGCTCAGTAACAGGCAGAGACACCGACTCAGACTCAGACACCAGCTCAGTAACAGGCAGAGACACCGGCTCAGACTCAGACACCAGCTCACTAACAGGCAGAGACACCGGCTCAGACTCAGACACTGGTTCAGGCTCAGGCTCAGACACCAGCTCAGTAACAGGCAGAGATACCGGCTCAGACTCAGACACCAGCTCAGTAACAGGCAGAGACACCGGCTCAGACTCAGACACCGGCTCAGACTCAGACACCGGTTCAGGCTCAGGCTCAGACACCAGCTCAGTAACAGGCAGAGACACCGGCTCAGACTCAGACACCGGCTCAGACTCAGACACTGGTTCAGGCTCAGACAGCGGCTCAGTAACAGGCAGAGACACCGGCTCAGACTCAGACACCGGTTCAGGCTCAGGCTCAGACACCAGCTCAGTAACAGGCACAGACACCAGCTCAGACTCAGACACTGGCTCAGACTCAGACACTGGTTCAGGCTCAGACACTGGCTCAGTACCAGGCAGAGACACCGGCTCAGACTCAGACACCGGTTCAGGCTCAGACACCGGTTCAGGCTCAGACACCGGCTCAGACTCAGACACCGGTTCAGGCTCAGGCTCAGACAGCGGCTCAGTAACAGGCAGAGACACCGGCTCAGACTCAGACACCGGCTCAGTAACAGGCAGAGACACCGGCTCAGACTCAGACACCGGTTCAGGCTCAGACACCGGCTCAGTAACAGGCACAGGCTCAAGAACAGACACCCAAAACTAAAACAGCCACAAGAACAGACACAAACACAGAAACAAACACTGGCTCTGGCTTAGGAACAGGAACCGGCTCAGGCACAGGAACAGACTCTGGACCGGCAGACATGACGAGGTTGGGCGGCGCCAGCAGAACAAAGCGTCTGGATGGCGCCGGCAGGGCAAGACGCGTGGGGACAGCCTCCGGGACGGCAGCGGGCTGCTCGGGCACGGCCTCCGGGAAAACAGAGAGGCTGCTCGGGCGTGGCCTCTGGGTTCCTGAGGAGGCTGGTGGTCTTCCCTCCTCCTCTTCTGATGGCAATGTGCAGACTCTGGGCTGGGCGGGAACAGTGGTGAATAGAGCTCTGGACTGGGCCTTACTAGCCTAGGATCAAGGAGGGTCCAAGACAGAGAGTGATGCAGGGACTCACCTCTAGCACCTCCTCTCCTGTGACCTCTGCGGGTCCCAGAACACCTGGCCAGACGGGTTCCTTCAAACAGGGGCGTTGAAGACTTCCTCAAGTCTGACAGCCCACAATGCAAAACATTGAAAAATGTTCATTCGAGGCTTCGCCTCTCTGACTTGAGGACTCACGCTCGATACTGCTCCCTTCCTCCCATTATCCTGGGAGGGAACATGGAACCCTGTACTGCTGAATCTTGACATTGACGGAGTCCTTCTGTCACAATCCACACAGAAGATCCAATAATGCAGCAGGTTTTTAATAGGGAAATCTGTTACTCATAAAACAGTCTAGGCAGGGGTCAATATCCACATAAGCAATCCAAAACACAAAGAACAATGAGCAGACAGAAACAGACCTCAGATGTAGTGTGATAATAGATAAGGACTCCGTAACAAACAGTAAACAAGGAGGGTACTTATACACACAGACTAACGACCAGTATGGTTGACAACTGGGTGCAATGAACAATGATGAGAAGTATTGTGGGAAATGTCAGTTTCTAACTGACACTCTGGGGTGAGAGGACCTCCAGTGGTGAACCAGGGAAACACAAACCCATACTGTGACAAGGATGGCCTTAATGTTGGGACATCTTGCCTAATGCCATCTTGCCTAACTAGAACTTTTTGGACCTATGGATCAGTGGTATGTCTGGAGCAAAAAAGGCAAAGCTTGTGAGCAGAAGAACACCATCTCAATGGTCAAAAATGGATGTGGTCCAGTCTTGTTATGGAGGTGCTTTGCTGTTGTAGGAAGTGGAAATCTTGACTATATGAAGGACATAATGAACTCTTTGAAGTATCAAGCCCACTTAGCAAAGATTCATTCGATGAAGAGATGCTTGATGATCAATAGACTTTCCTGCAGGTCAGCCATCCCAAAGTATACACCCAAATCTACTTAAGCTTGGTTCAGGGATCATTGGTTGTTGGTTAAATCTCCTTAAAAACATTTGGTTGAATTTGAATAAAGCAGTGGTAATGTGAAAACCAAAGATTAACAGTGATCTGGAAGCTTTTTCAAGCGAGGAATGGTCCAAGATTGATGTAGAAAGGCGACAGAAGCTTCTTACACGTATAGGCAGTATTTATGGGAGGTTAAAAGGGAATAAAAGATTCTGCACAAAATTTGACTTTTGAATTTTGTAAACGAATGTTTAGAGCCAATTAGATTTTTTTCATTTTTCATCAAATGTATGTATTGATAAACTTTCTATAACAGTTTACTGATGCCTTTGATGAATTGTTTTCATAAAATGTTGTTCTCTGCAGCAAAAGGTCTTCCAGTTCAAGGCAAGGGGGTTGAATAATTTTGATTGCAACTGTGTTATAATTACTCTTCTGCAATAATAATAATGAACTCTAAAACTTTGCCCTAAAAAGAGGCTATTTACATAAGCATCTAGATAATTAACCAAAATGCCACCTTAATCACTTTTGAAGGATTTAAATGAACTTAATTTAAAGGCAGTCGCCGCTAGCGGTAGCTTCATAAAAACATTAATAAAGGCGTAGCTTGATGACGCTGTGAATGAGAGTCTGCACAAGTGCTACATTTCTACTCATACAGGTCACTTTATTTGAAAAATTTATATTGAGGTAAGTTAACACAGCACTGTTTTACTTGGTCAAAACAATCATACTATAATACGTTTAAGTGTGTTGAAAGTTATGACTCGTTCGTCGGTGGCTGGTATGATAACACTTGTTGCACACAGTAGTAAGCTAAATTGATATTAGATTATCATATTAATACAAATAAAATTGGTGTTGTCTCTGAGGTATGATACAAACATGTCACTCGTAGTAAATCAAGATTCAACAATAAGACTAACTGTGTTGTGTTATATAACAATGTTTAGTTTTCTGTTGATAAAGGTATCCAAACAGTTGCTCGCCTGTCAAGTAAAACACGTCATATATTAAAGCGTGTTTCCGTGGTTTCTACACTGTAAAAAAATATTTTCATGATTTGTAATCACAACATTTTCTCTTTTGTAATTTAATAATTTATGTAGTTCAGATAACATAATATTTTGAGTTTCTGGTGATTAAATTAATCTCTATTGTATTAACTTCATTTTTCCATTTCAATGAACTTAAAATTTGAAGACAACTAGGTTACTTAATTTTTTAAGTTAAACCAACCAATTTTTTACAGTATACTGATATTGAGGGTAGCGCAGATATTACGTCATTGACAGGCAAAGCAATGACACGGGCCATTACACTGGTTAAAATAACTGATTTTTCTGGATTTAAACATTGTTGGAAACATTTGGGATAATGTAAGTACACAAGTCAACAAAATATTTAATATGGTTTTAGTGGTTTTGCATATTTTAATCCAAAAACCTTACATATTGTGCCTTTAAGTGAATTGACATCAATCTGGCCAAAACTCTGGCTATAATGAATATAATATTCCTACATAACTATTTAGACTATTTTGTCGGTTGCATTGCATTACAGGTATCTTATTCTCAACACTGGTCTTTGGACCTGCCTGTGGTTTTATTCTTGGCTCTCTGTGCACCAAAGTTTATGTTGATGCAGTCTTCATTGACACATGTGAGTACCTGCTTCAAAAATCAATCCCTTTATTTACATTTTTTCCTTATTTGAAAATGGCTTTGGATAAAAGCAGAATTATGAATGAAACTGTGTTTCAGTAATATGTAATCAGACCTTTGTTCTCTTCCAACAGCCACGCTGGACATCACTCCTGACGATCCACGCTGGATCGGTGCCTGGTGGGGCGGCTTTATCATATGTGGCCTTTTCCTCTTCCTCTCCTCATTTTTCATGTTCGGGTTCCCGCAGTCGCTGAACGAGCCTGGGGAGGGCCCGGGGGGTGAGAGCGAACAGGCCATGCTGCCTGCTGAGCTGGTGCAGGAGTATGAAGGAGTCAAAACCTCAGATGACCCGGAGATCAGCACTGGCCTAACCTGCTGCCAGCACCTGCAGGGTGAGATAGGGGACAAAGAGAAAGCCTGTCTAAACACACAGAGGTTTTATAAGCAATCGCACCTGAAATCATTTAGTTTGATTTGTTATTGTTGTCAGTTCATTACTTGTAGTAGTTTTAGATTTCATTTTAGAGTAGAGAACAAGACTCATCCCTCAAAATGCTGTTAAAGATATAGTTGACCCAAAAAATAAAAATTCTGTGATTAATTACTCACCCTCATGTAGTTCCAACCCCGTAAGACTTTTGTTCCTCCTTATGATGAAATCTTGAGAGCTTTCTGTCCCTCCATTCCATTGACAGCTAGTGACGCAACTAACACTTTGATGCTTCAATGATTGTAAAACTAATCCATATAAATAGAGCAGTTTAGTCAAAATTCTCTTCTGAAGAGACATGATAACTTTATATGATGAACATTGAATTTAGGCTTTTATTCACATATAAACATTCATCATCTCACACATCAGTTGTGGTAAACAGAAACTCAATAATGCTCAATTTCTAAAGAATGGCTAGAAATGAATCGCAAGGCAATTATAAGGGAATTACATTTCTTTAGATTCTTAAACCTAAAGCTGATTTGAATTTTTTTTTGTGAAAAGCTCAAATTAACTCAAATGAAGCTGAATTGTAAATTTAATTAAAAAAAAAATATATATATATATATATATATTCCTATGTTGCTGCCTTGCTAAACTGCTTTCAATTATTTTGTTTTACATACTTTCACTAGGCACTGTACACACACACACACACACACACCTAAAGGATTATTGGGAACACCATACTAATACTGTGTTTGACCCCCTTCCGCCTTCAGAACTGCCTTAATTCTACGTGGCATTGATTCAACAAGGTGCTGAAAGCATTCTTTAGAAATGTTGGCCCATATTGATAGGATAATATCTTCTGCTGTTGTAGCCCATCCGCCTCAACGTTGTGTGTGTTGTGGCTTCACAAATGCTTTGCTGCATACCTCGGTTGTAACGAGTGGTTATTTCAGGCAAAGTTGTTCTTCTATCAGGTTGAATCAGTTGGCCCATTCTGCTCTGACCTCAAGCATCAACAAGGCATTTTCGGCCACAGGACTGCCGCATACTGGATGTTTTTCCCTTTTCACACCATTCTTTGTGAACCCTAGAAATGGTTGTGTGTGAAAATCCCAGTAACTGAGCAGATTGTGAAATACTCAGACCGGCCCGCCTGGCACCAACAACCATGCCATGCTCAAAATTGCTTAAATCACCTTTCTTTCCCATTCTGACATTCAGTTTGGAGTTCAGGAGATTCCACAGAGGACCACAGCCCTAAATGTATTGAAGAAACTGCCATGTGATTATGTTGATTAGATAATTGCATTGATGAGAAATTGAACAGGTGTTCCTATATAATACAGTGCCTTGCGAAAGTACAGTATGTGAAATAAATAATTACACAATACAGATAATTTCTTAATAGTTCAACTTTACATATTTACATATAAAAATAAACAGCTGTCTTTATATTTTAGTAAGAGGACGGGGAGGGGCAACATATTTGCGTATCCTTGACATCAAAACATTTGAAAACCCCTGGATTACAACATTCTCTTCAACTACATCTTCATCTGATTATCCATTTAATATCAGTGTAATGTCGTCTCAGTTATCCCAAAGGTGACTAAGCATCTGCTGTCCAATCCGGTTTTCACCTGTGTCATTCTCGCTGCCTGTATGGAAATCGGCGTGGTGGCTGGATTCGCTGCCTTCCTAGGGAAATATCTCGAACAACAGTTCAACCTCTCAACGTCCTCTGCCAATCAGCTCCTAGGTTAGGCAAATCCACAAAAACATCCATGTCATAAAACACAGTTTCAAAAATCACTGCAAGTAACTGAAAGCTGATTTTTTTTTTTGCTTGTGTGTACAGGTATGACAGCAATCCCCTGTGCTTGTCTGGGTATTTTCCTGGGCGGCCTCCTGGTGAAAAAGTTGGATCTGTGTGCATTGGGGGCTATTCGTCTGGCCATGCTAGTCAATATCATCTCTACAGCCTGCTACGTCTCCTTCCTTTTCCTTGGCTGTGATACGGGTCCAGTCGCGGGGGTGACTGTTGCCTATGGCAACGAGTGAGTGGAGCGCTACAACATAAAAGCCTCACAAATTTTTAATGATCCACAACAATTGGCAATTAATACAGTCACTTAGAGTATAAACACTTTTGAGCATGTAGCATTAATTTTACAGAGGGTTATCTTTATAAAATGTGAATTTGAAAGGAACGTGTCATTCTTACTCTTCTCGTAATTATTCTCTCCATTTAGGAGTCTAGGCTCATGGGAGCAGACGGAGGCCGCATGTCTGTCAGGCTGTAATTGTTACACGTCTTCTCTAAGCCCCATCTGCGGCTCCAACGGCATCACCTACCTCTCCGCCTGCCTGGCTGGCTGCACCCGAGGAGTGAGTCTCCTTCATACACACACTCCCCAATTCACAGAGATCAATAGACTCAGGCACACATCTGCTTAAATGCTCCCATAAAAGTAGCAAGAGTTCTTTTGGGAATGCTCATTTTTCCTTTTAGATGCATCAGTCCCCTTTGTCTCAAATGTTCGGTTCTTTTTTCCTCTGGATGGTCGCTGGAAATCCCCAGAGCAGCACTTAAGATCCATCATGAAATATACATTCAGCTCTGCTCTCCTCCCTCCTTCCCTCTCTCAGAATCTGACAGGCTGTAAGTGCATCGCCCAAGGCGACGGGCCCGGGACAGCCACGCCGGGGAAGTGCTCCAGCCCAGGCTGTCAGCAGGCCTTCCTCACGTTCCTAGCAGTCGTGTGCGTCTGCAGCATGATCGGAGCCATGGCCCAGACTCCATCCGTCATCATCCTGATCAGGTAATGCTGCTGACACCAGTAAATTTAGGTCCAAGTCACTGGTTTCATGAGTCTCATCTGTACATCATAATGAACTAGCACTAAACTATAAGTCATTGGTGTCTGTAGAACTGTGAGCCCAGAGCTGAAGTCTTACGCCCTTGGAGTTCTTTTCCTGTTGCTCCGGCTGCTAGGTAAGATATTTGCATAATAATTTTTCCACGTTTATTAAACATGCATCCTTATCTTTATCTTGTTTGGTTGAGGTCAATTAGCTTGAATAACTTGTATGGACACTACCATGTGTCAGTAAGAAGTCTCTTATTCTCACAAGCATTTTTTCAATCAAAAATGCAGTAAAAACTGTATAATATTATTATCAGTAACCATTTTCTATTGTATTGCATTTTAAAATGTAATATACTCCTGGGATGGCAAAGCTGAATTTTCAGCTTCATTACTCCAGTCTTGAGCATCACATGATCCTTCAGAAATCATTCTAATATGCTGATTTGCTGCTCTAGAAACATTTCTGATTATCGATATTGAAGATAGTTGTGCTGCTTAATATTTTGGTGGAAATCAGGAAACATTGTTTGGGATTCTTTGATTAATAGAAAGTTCAAAAGAACAATTTATTTGAAATAGTAATATTTTGTAATGTTATAAATGTCTTTACTGTCACCTTTGATCAATTTAATGAACCCTTATGGAATAAAAGAATGTATTTGAAAAATAAAAACACTTTTGTAGGGTAGTTCCTATCAAGAACTGATAAAATATAAGTCACACAAAATGCAAGTCACTTTGGATGAAACCATCGGCGTAAATGCGTAAATGTAATCTGTAGCCCTCAATCGGGTCAAAAAAAGGTTCCCTTCATCTCAGTGGAATAAAATTTTGTGACTTTTCATATATTATCTATGTACACACACACAAAAAACTGGGCTTGATTCGATTGTTCTGAGGGTATGTAAAAAAATGTTTACACTTCTGGTCTTCGGGGTCAATATGACCCCACATTGAAATGAATGGGAAATGTGAAAAAACACTAAATATATGTGTCAAAAAAAAATAATAAAAAATTCTCGCATTCTAGCATAAATCTGAAAATGTATACACAGAAATGAAGGCCTAGTACTAGAGCATAAATGTAATGTATCATAAAAAAAAAAACATTTCACATGCTAATGCTAAAGCTAATGGTGTAGTTGAGGAATTGTGTGGTATATGGATACAAAAGTACTTTATAACTCCAAAAACACAGCATTAATGAATAGATGAGAAGTAAACAAAGAAATGATATATTATTTGTATGATTAAAAATGTATATTTTTTGTACAATTACTCAATCAATTGTTGGGGTTGTATAGACCCCGAAGCCCAGAAGTGTAAACAGGAAACGAAGACCATTTGAAAATTGGAAACAAATTTGTGAATAATTAAAGGCAAATTCATATATAAAGGAATGAAAAATCGTATTTTTCCGTTAGAAATAAGTATTAAAAACAAGTACTGTACAGTTATACTGACCTCGGTGTTCTTTGTCCCAGGTTTCATTCCTCCACCTCTGATCTTTGGCATTGGGATCGACTCCACCTGCCTACTGTGGAGCTCTGTGTGCGGCATTAAAGGGGCCTGCATGCTTTACGACAACGTCACCTACCGCTACCTTTACGTCAGCATCGCCATTGTTCTCAAATCCAGCGCCTTCATTCTCTACACCATCACCTGGCAGTGTCTGCGTCAGAACTACTCCAAGTACATAAAGAACAGTGAGGACTACCTGACCCCAAGCCAGCTGTTCGCCTCCAACCTCACCCTGGACAACCTGGGCAAGGACATTGCACAGAACCCTTCCAACCGCACCAAGTTCATTTACAACCTAGATGACCACGCCTGGAGCGAGAACATGGAGTCAGCCATATAGTCCCCCCCCAAAGAGGGCCAGCTAGCCTGCTAATATGCACATGCTAATTTAGTCTCATAACGCTCTTATTCAAAGGAAAATCCATGTAAGCCGATTTCTGCACATTCCCGCTTGGGAGAAATGGGCACTCTTTTAGCGCATCCAGGGTGTTTTAACTAAACAGAGCCAAATGAATTTGACTGTTACTGTAGTGGTCAGGACTTGTATATGCTGGATATATGATATGTGGAGATGAAACGCATCTATCGTATTAGGGAATGTATTAGGTTGCAGTTCCAAAACCGAACAATTAGGGCCCATTCAAACCAAGGACAACTACAAAGACATAGTTCTATAAATCATTCTTAAAGGGATACTCCACTTTTTTTGGAAATAGTCTCATTTTACCACTCCCCCAGAGTTAAACAGTCGAGTTTTACCGTTTTCGAATCCATTCAGCCGATTTTCTGATATTTAGAAGAATATCAATAACCAGACAGTTTCTGGTCTCATTGACTTCCATTATATTTTTTTCCTACTATGGAAGTCAATGGGACCAGAAACTGCCTGTTTACAGATATTCTTCTAAATATCAGAAAATCGGCTGAATGGATTCGAAAATGGTAAAACCCAACTGTTCAACTCTGGGGGAGTGGTAAAATGAGCCAATTTCCAAAAAAAGTGGAGTATCCCTTTAATATAAAAGAATAGCAGAGTCCACACCACAACTATAACAGAGAAACGATATCATTGGAATCACTTTCAGAACGATTTTTTTCCAGCTGATGAACGATAAAAACATTGACAGCCAATCAGAATCCATCCTGCTTTAAAGAGCTCCAGCTGACGACAAAACTGCAGAGATAAAGATAGTGATACGATAGTGTGGGTTGGTGTGGACGCTGATACAGTTATGGACGTCATAGCTATCTTTATAGTTATAGTTCTTGGTGTGAACAGGCCTTTAATCTTCCATCAGTCGAAACTAGCCCCAGCTTACATATATAAGCACCTTTTTTAGGTTTCATTTTGGATGGTCTTTTTAGTATTTTTTTAAAAAATGTAAAGAATATTAGCATATGAGTTCTATGAATATTAGCTAATATGTTTACTTGAATATCGTGAGGCTCTAATCAGTCTATTTTTATGGAGGGTCTTAGAAAGCTTGATGTTATTACTCAATCTCTCCTCTGTACAGTCATTAGACTTTAAAAGACATAGATACACGTGCAGAGTTTACACAAGTCATGTAACCTATTAATCAGCCTAAATACATTATGGTTAACATATTAGGCCCGTGTCTGTGAAAAACGTATAGCTTGAATAGACAAAACGTTCATTAGTTTTGTGATGCCTCGTTATTTGTCATCTGCAGTGGTCCTGAGCAACATCTAAAGCAACATGTAACATTAATCAGTAGTTGTTATCAAGCAGAGGACACTGAAGGATGGAAAGATGGAATTATTTCAATGCATGCAGGTATTGCATGTTGATGCATCAGAGTAGGCGCATGGGAATTTTAGGGGATGTATCGTTTTGGAGAAGGTAGACATTTCCCTTCTATTGCTCCAGCATCTTCTTAAATGGTGTTTTATACAGTGTGCGCAGAGTTATTAAATGGTATTACGGCGCCTTGTATACATTTTTTCTTCCAATCTGTTCGCTGTGTTCAAGGAATTCGCTTGGAACACCAAATGCAACAGTTGTAAAACATGTTTTTATTTTTTTCCTCTATAGCAAAATATATGAAACAAGGAAATAAACATAAGGAAATTATTAGTGAGCTACTAAAATATCAACCCGAGTTACACTAAATAATTAGAATATGAACAAATATTTAAAAATGACTTAATTCATACATTTTTGTATGGCATTGGACCTAAGAATTTGTTTCATAGACTTATGACTTATTTTCTATGCTTTTTCTAAGAAAAAAAATAAATAAACCAAAAAAAAAAAAAAAGGCAGGACAGAAAGGTGATGGATCTATGTTAAATGTAACAAAGCGGAATGCCTTTTATAGAGGAAAATTATGTTTCTGCTGCTCTTGAAAGATGGTTTTACTGGATGCAAGTACATTGAAGAGGGCAAAACCCAAACCCATTATCACCCTTCGTGTAAATGGCTTCCCAAGCACATTATTTTAATGCATTGCAATATACGCCGAAACGCTTGATTGCTTGAATGTTGAGGCCGGAGTCAATACAAATGGGATGATATAAGAATGATGTCATTGTTTATATAATCATTCCTCTCTATAGATAATTCATTGCCGTAAAAGTGCCAAAGTGATGCCATTTAAGTGTTCTGAGTTCTCTCCGAGAGGCCGTTCTTCATAATGCTGGAAATGTATATGACCGCAAGATGCTTTATTGTATTGTATGTAGACATACGTGATATCTTTAGCAACCATTACACCTTGTACATAGTGACATTTAAGTCTATTCTCTCCAGAATGTAGAATATAGCGATGCTTTAGGCTTTTACAGGTGATGTTACAAGTCTTAACTTTGGACAGAATATATATTATTGTTAAATGCAGATGGAGATTATGTTATGCTTACAGAGGAATGTTGTGGTATATTTTTCTACCCATGTCTGTATTAAGAAGCTTATGTGTAATGGCCATAAAAGGTGTACAAAAAAAAAAAATTACATGAACGATTATCTGCACTAACACATTGTCCTCGCATTTTTATTATGAAGCTCCAAAATTTAAGCTCGTGTTATTTATTTTCCTGTTGCCTAAGCAAAGGTCTCAGCACATTAAGCATTCATAAGAGATCATGATTATAGATGAATATGAACCTGAATAATGTACAAGAAGCTTTGGTCTTCGACATTTCAACCTTACCATAGTTATGTGGAAGGCTGTTAGGACTGCAACTTCAGTGTTTAGTATGCATCACAACATGTTAAGAAGCATTTTACATTTGTTTTCCTTCTTAAGACGAATAGGACGGTTTCTGTTGGGTTTTATTAATCCCTAACATCAGTACCATATGATGCACATACCACACAAATGTGCTGAGCATCAATACGTTGTTCACATTTACACAGCTTAATGTCTTAACCTCTTATTAAATAGTACAACTCGGATTGAAACCATTACAACTGATTTGTTTGCTCAGTCTGTGTTCAGGTTTAAAGTAAGCGTGATCTTAAATATCTGTAGTCATCAAAAAACATTTAAAGCTACACTGTGTGATTTTTACCCCCATCTAGCGTCGAAAAGATATATGAAGAGTTCAGATGCAAAAGCCTCTAAGTGCCATTTGAAATTTTCTTCTAGAATGATCATTTTTATCAAGCTTGTATATTGAAGTTCAGTAATTTCAGTTAAATTGCAATGAGGATTACCTATTAATTGTCATTTAAGTGAAATTACTGAACTTGAATATATAAGCTTGATAAAAATGATCATTTTAGAAGAAAATTTCAAATGGCACTTAGGGGCTTTTGCATCTGAACTCTTCATATGAACATCCATTGCATTTTAGTTTCTGCCGATTTCGCTTTAACTCCTACGGTGGCCAATGTAGTCCAAGATTAACATGGCTTCCAGTTCGACCTCGTCCACGAGTGTTAACTCAAACGTAAACGCGAAAGGCAAAGCTTGAATTAACGGGTATGTCCCTCTTTGGCTAATGTACTTTCAAGACGGAGGGGCAACATGGCGACCGACGTTAGAAGAACCCCTTACCCGTATGTATTTTCAATGGCATATTACTCACGAGAATACATTATTACTTGAACATTATTACATTATTACTTATCACTCACGAGAATACATTATTACTTGAACGAAGTAAATATACATTAATGAGCACATATATTTTTGAAAGAACTAAGTTTTTTTTAGCTAAGAATAAACTAAGAGTTACACCATGTAGCTTTAAGGCTGTACTTGCTATTCACAGTGGCATATAAGTAATTTAAAATGGCTTTTAAAAATAAATGGAGACATTTGGGTCTCAAAAAAACCTCACCTAATTATTTATTAGATTATCATTATGTGTCCTTACTAATACATTGTGTGCTTAGGCATGGAAACAGGTTGCATTGTTCTATCACATACATTAGACAGTATTATTGATTTACCTTAAAGTCACATTGAAAAAACGTTTGCAGAATTTCATGGGATTCGGTCCATTGTCAACTAGTGTCACTCCATGTAACGCTGCTTTTTACTCAGAATTCACTTACCAAGAAGTTTTCTGCAACTCCAGATTGAACAGATTCCTATTTACATTATTATTATTTTTCCAGTTACAAGTGATTTACATACAAAGTAAATCTATGAATGAAAAAGCGATTACAAACACTGGAATAAAGCATACTAAACACACAAAAGATTTTTCCAAAAACATTTTTTTGGGAATCTCTTATTTGAAAGTTCATCTTTATTATCGACAGTGCTTAGAAAAACAACTTGCGCATAAAAAAGGTTTATGCACAAGAAAAAGAACCATCAAAAGTGTGCTTGTGAACACGCATACAAACACACACGTATAAGTGCACCGTTCAGTCACGGAGCTCAGTGCTTTGCCCATTGTTTACTCTTTCTGACTGAGCTTTGTGTTTGGACATCGAGGAGTGTTTCTCTGTGCGCATGTGTGTGTGTCAGTAGTCCAATGGGGCCATAAGTAATTGTAGCTCTTTGAAAGTGCTGCCATGACGACCAACCTGCTCCGCCCGGTTCTTCACTACATTACTGAGGTTCTTCAACTGCTTATAGCAAGCTTTACATTTCCGATGCCTGAAAAACATCACAATAAACGGTCTCATAAAAACACATTCCAGTCACATGACTCCAAAAATAAAAACACCTGTTTAACAGACTGCAGTGCTTTAGACTAATAGTTCACTATATGGAAGCTATTGGCTCAGTAAAGGCAACATTAAAGTCCCTTGAACCGGAGGTTGCAAACAAATTTTCTTCAGTGTTGTGACGTATTTCTGAGAGAAACGGAAAACTAAATGAGGCAAAATAGTGGGTGTGGATTTTTTTTTTTCAACTAGCACCTGATTGGATCTAGAAAAGTAGGTGTAACATTAATTGGAATTATAAAACTATTTTTATTTGCCATTACTGCTGCAACCTTAACCGTTATGATAGTAACCTGCGTGTAACTCACTAACTAACCTATGAGTGCCACAACCAAAAATGCACCTCCTCGCCATCTCTCCTTTCACACACAGGCAGCCTGTCTACTGTCAGTTGGAGGGGCGTGGTTAGGCCGTGTGTCCACCAAAGCGTTCTTCCACGCGCCTGGCGTATGTTTTCAATGGGAGCGCCGCGTTTTTTAAACGCCATGAGCGTAACGAGGCGCTGAGCGTTTTTTTTCACGCTGAAGCGCCGAGCGCCCGGCGTTTTTTACTGGTCGCCGAGAGTTGAAAAATATTCAACTTTGGAT